GAACAAGGGTGTCTCACACCACATCTCCACTTTAATTATCGTGAGTTATCCAAATAAGTGGAAGGTGTTCTGTTATTCTTAGCCCAGAAAACACAATTATGTGAAATCCCATTTGTTATCTTGAGAGAGTTAGAAGCCCGTTTCTGCATGAGGACTGCTACACTCTTCCCAGCGCTCAGGCTGGGAGAAGGGAGGTTGTGGAATAAAGTCTGCTCTTGTTAGAGCTGTCCTTGCCAACAAAAGCTCTGCTTAGCACCAAGCTGCTGTTCATGGTTAAGTGGGCTGGCCTGGTCTGATTACAAGTGACTGGAACATGACAAAACTCACCTGCAAAAATGTTGTGGGAACTTGCATCACTGTGTTGCACTGTGTACCAGAATAACTGCACCATTCAGAATCCATCCCTTTTCTTTATGAAAAAGCCAGATCCACCTTCAGTATTATCTCAAGTTGAATTCATTGTGTGAGCAAATGAGAGCTCTGACTAAAATTTAACCAAGCTAAGGATGCAGCAAAGAAAATGTTAACTGTTCCCTCTCCATGGCTGATTCCTCAACTTCTCTCAGGTAAAATGTAACCTCCTAATTGCCTAGTCTCTGGTTGCTCTGCCTGGATAATCTGAACCAATTTCCTACAAACAGGTGTACGCATCAGTCCCTGCCACTCACAAAAACATGCTGAGTCTGATGCAGAACTGGTTGGAATTTGGAGTTAAGCTGCATTTAGTTATATTGTGCCATGACTGTGCTGGTACTGGTAGCTGTTGTGCAGTTCGTGAACTAACCCCCTCTCCTCTTTCTGGCAGCAGTTGTTTCTCGAGTTCTGATGAGTCTTCTTTCTTATGGTTACATTATTGCTATTTATTTCAGCAGCTCTGAACTGACTCCTGCCTGAAACCCTCAAGTTTAACTATTGCTTCACAAGGAACATAATGGTACACTTACATAGTTTAAATATAAATTCCCTGTGAATTCTGCTAGCTTAGCCTCCTTGCTTCTCCTTCTTGTTATGGAGTGAGGTGGTCTGGTAGCTATTGGTTTTCCAAGAAATGTATGCTTGTCCTAAATTCAAGCTGTGTTTCCTGTTTTGTGCAGGTGTTTTTGTTGTTGTTTTAGTTATTTTTAAAGGAAAAATCTTGTCTTGAATACAGCTACCCAACTTATTTGTGCTTTATTTCATGAAGCAAGAGCAACACGTACTTGTCTAGTATTGCTATGGCAACATCCGGTCACAGGTCAGTGAGGGAGGCAGTGACAGTGCAAGCACAAAATCGCATGAGAAATGCATGACTTACTATTAAATATAACCTTGCCTAGTATTGAAAATGATAATTTTTCTAACAAAGTTCTGATGAAACAGGTGGAAAATGGAAACAGAGACTTAATTTATTTTTTTTTTTAAATCAAGCCGATTTGCTGAGTTAGTGTTATTATTCTGTTTCCTTAACACTCGATATGGGCTTACAGTGGGCAATCAGAAATTTTTTGTTCCCTACTCAACTGCTACCAATAGTATTCATAGTGATCTCCAAGAATCTTTCCAAGAATACCCTCTTGATGCCAACTTCTGGCTGCACCTTTCAGCACTAAGGTAGCAGGTTTTGCTACAAAAATGTGCATGTGAGCACTGAAGAGGGATTCTAGACTTCGGCTGTAGACAGCTGGTAAAGAACAAAAACAAGTACCTAGAAATTAATAGGAAGCCAGGACAGTGTGGCAGCATCTCTTGACCATATGAAGTTTATCTTGGCTTTTACCCAGGGAGGGCAACTGCTCTGCATCTATGATGTGTGCCAATGGCCAGCTCCAGCCATGCATGCACTTTATGGTGGGGTATTTTTGGACACCATACTTACTCAACAGGTCCTAAGCTATTTTTAGAGAGTCCTTGTAAGGTGTCTTCAACTTATATTCTTTTTGATTTCACCAGCTCAGCCTGTATTTAGAATCCTTCCCCCTCAGGGAGAAACTCCAGAGAAAAATATCCCAAATTGGGAGGGAACTACTGCTGGCCAATCCACACAGCCTTCTGTCCCACCCAGCTTTTGTTCCACGTCCTTGGGGTTAGGGAAAATGTGGTCTTTTTTAATACAGCTCTGAAGCAAGCAGGCTTGTGTAGCAGACTGGGGGAAAGAAGACAAATGGGACAGGGGTGCTGCTGCATCACAAGGAAATGTGCTGCACATGCAGTGAGAGCTACCCTTCACCACAGGACTGCCTTGGTTTTGTGAGAGCTTGCACTGCAAGGGCACGTCAAGGCCCGTTTGGCCCTGGGATTTCCTTCCTGGCACTCTTGACTGTACACCAAGGCCAAGCTAGCACAAACAAGAGAGCGGGCTTAAAATAAGTGGAGATGGCAGTAAACTGAGCTGCCAAAGGGAAGAATATAGCATAGGGGGCTGTGCAGGCTGAGGAGAGATTAACAGGTATTAAAAGAAAGCAAAAGACACGACAGAATTCAGATCAATGCTGAGATGAGGAGCAGGGAGCATGAGGAACTTGAACACAGATGGCAAGGTGTAAACAGGCAGACCTGGGAGAAGCTGTGAGGGCAGGATGGAGACAAACTTTAAAATCCAGCAATGGGAAGAAGGTGACAAGTATATGAACAAATATCTGAAATAATAATACTTTCCAAATTGGAACTAATAATTTTGTTTATGTTAGAAAGTCATACATAAACAAAGAAAAGGCAGTGTAAGTATAGTTTTATTTAGTATTTTGGTAAAACAATGATACATCTCAAAATGTCCGTAAAAGTTAGCTTGCTGATCAGCTGCATACATTCTAAATGGGTGCTACTACATTTGAATAACTTGACAGATCATACAAGGCGTTATTTGACCAACAGCTCTGCAGTGTGTGACACCCCTCCCCCCCCGACAGATGTGAGCAGTGTGAATGGGCATTGCATTAGTAGCCAATGCATAGTTAAAGCTTTTTGGAAGTGTAAAAAATTGCAAAAGTAATTTTTTTTTAAAATACGAATTGGTGATCCTTGCATTAGAATAACTATTCAGTTGTAAATTACATTCTTAATATTTTCTTCTTTTAATAACAGTACTTACAAAGATAGAAGGAAAATTGTCTTGCTAGCATTTGATCTAATATAGATCTCCATAGGAAAATGCTGAGTATCTTATAAAGCTTTTCACAGATTATAGGCTAAGTTCTGGGACATCACAAACTTGTACGTAATTCAGATAAACACCTGAGGTTACATGGTGTGTATGTAACAGAAAGTGTTTTAGCTCTAGAAGAAGACAGATGCCATATGAAGTCAGAGACTTTAAACAGATAGATTGGTGCTGTGTGGGGTTACGGAGTGATAGTTTTAGGCTTGATTCAGGTTTTTAAAATCAGTAGCAAAGCTTCTACTTAAGATCAGGACTGTATTATTAACACAGCTCTTCCCAACATTGGTATGAGCTCTGTCATTGCAGCCAACATGACCGAGCCTGGCCATCTATCAGGAGACCCAGTGCAAATCTGGATGTGCTTAGGTCTTAGCAGAGCTACTTTGCTGCACAGCATTGCACCCTTATTTTGTCTAGTTCTGATAATACCTTATTTAGTAGTAGGCTGGGCACAGCAGATCATGTGAGGTACTCTCATTTCTGATGGATTTCATATGTAATTGAAGGTGATCTGCAGCTCCAAAGAAGTGCCCAACGCTTTTCCAAATCAGACACTTAGATAGGGTTGTTTGTTTTTGGAAGGAACAGATGCAGCTTTGTGTACAAAAAATATTAGACAGAGGTTCAAGGCCATAAGTTTCATATGTGCTTTTTCTTTAAAAATAATAGTTTGGGGATTGGGTTTTCTTCATTGTCCCTTACTTCAGAAAAATTTTAGGAGTACTTTTTCTTCAGTTTATAGGTACATTAATTAGGACATGCCATTTTTGTTTTCCTTCTGAAACTTTGTTCCAAGCAAATTGTACTAAAAGTACATTGCTGACTTTGGGAAATACCATTTAACTCAACCTAACAGAATGACTAGTGATCAGGGGTGTATTTGCTGTATGCTTTACTTGAGGCTTGCAGCATGAAAGCTTTAATATAAAAATACTCTTCTAAGTACCTCAGCCCATATGGATTTTACTGGTCTTACCTCTGTGCCTATGGACAGGGATGTTACTTCTTCGCTAGAGAAATACAAAGCTCAGCTATACGTTGATAAGACTTTCTAGTTATTTTGTTCATGAATATACTAGTGAACAGGTTAGCATATGGTTTGTATCATCCTTGCCATTTGGTGACATATCAAATCTGATCTTTCAAAACGTAATGAAAAGTTACTATATCAGGACATTCTGTTGGTTCTCATATAAAATATGATTTTTATTTTCAGTTGTGCTTATAAGCAAATCTATCTTTAGTCATTTATGTAAACACTTTGGAACACTAAAGGCCAGACTTCACATTGTCATTTTACCAAAAGTCAGGTGAACATTTATTACTAAGGCATTAACGTACATCCCAGCAGTCACAAGACAGGAGCTACCAGGTACATATGGCAGTTTCCAGTAGAGTGAATTCAGAGGCAGACTGCAGTGTTCTGAGCAACTTTTCTGTGTTTTTTTTTTTTTTTTTTTTTTTTTAAATAAGAGATTTCACTTTAGCATGTGGAATCACTGAAGGCGAACTCAGACTTCAGGCATAGCGCGTGGAGACATAGAAAGGATTGTACACACAGTTCCTGGAGGGGCTCCAGCCATAGGTAAAAAGCGCTTTACAACGGCAACTTCTGTGAACAAGCTAGAAAAAGCTTACTTTCAAATTGCATACATTTTATCATCTAATACATTAGTGTTCCCTCAGCTCTCCTTCTTGAATTAAGAAAAGGAACACTTTGTGCAATTTTAATTCTTGCTCTCGTAAGCTGTTGTATTAGCTATTTTCCAAAAAGATGTAGCTGTTTTCCAAAAAGATCACCAGAACAAACTATTTAGGTTTTAATAGAGAGGGAGAGGTTATCTTTAGGTGCAAAGTTTGTTGCTCAGGCATTTGCTGACAGCTGATTTTCACCGACTGCTTTCTCTGCTTGCAGTCTTTGGACAGCCTGATCAAGCAAATCCATAGTATCTCTCAGTGTAACATTCAAGGTAAATGGCTTAGGTTTAATGGTCAACCCATAGGTAAAGTCCATTTTAGGGTCCTCATTTGGATTAGCGGTAAAATTGCACTGATGCACCAGTATGGAGGTAAAGAGAAAGAGCTGCACCTTGGATAACTCCTCTCCAATACACCGCCGCTTTCCCAGCGAGAAAATCATCACACTGCTAGTGAGATCTTTATTGATGAACCCATTCTCATCCAGGAATCGCGTTGGATCAAAATCCTCCGGGTTGGTCCATTTTGCTGGATCGTGGTTCACTGACCACTGATTAACGAAAATCACCGTGTCTTTGGGAATGAGGTAGCCCATTATGAAGGTGTTGGTCGTGGTGGCATGTGGGATGGTGACAGGCACGAAGCTGCTGAAACGCATGGATTCATACAAGAAAGCCATGATGTAGGGCAGGTGAGGCTGATCTTCAGCACATGGCAGACGGTCTCTTCCAACAATCCTGTCCACTTCTTCTTGCATTTTAGCCTGTACATTCGGATACCTGTCATTTAAAGTAAGACGTGTGTATATACGTAACACTTTCAAAAGACTTTCTTAAAAATAATTCTTGCTGTAAACATTCTTTTTTTACAGAACCGAACCCCTACCCTAAATAGGGCAGTTTTACCAAAGTTTATATTGTAGGAACATGTGGACCTCGTTGGAAAAATTTGAGAGAAAAAACTAAACTTCCTATGCAATGGTATCATTTTCGATTTGCTCAGTTTGCACTTTAATATCATGTGTAACTGATTATCAACATAAAAAAAAAGGCAACTGTGTTGAAACTGAATATTCTTATCCAGTTTTGAAAAATCATTCTAAAACTAAAATTGCTTGTCTCTTCTAAATATTGTGCTTTCTCTGGGAACAAAAATTTGGTTTTCCAGCTCTGTACATGATTTCTAAAACTTAGCGTGGAGTTTATCACTAGACTTGTTGCGTACCTATGAAAATCTGCAGGTTTTAAACTGAAAAAATCCCTAGTAATAACTGGCAGAATAGCTTTATGAACAGCCCACTCTTAGCCTGTGTATGCCTTTTCTAATTAATAGCAAAATACCTTTTATTTATAATGTATTTTAAGACTGCCTTGAAGTCTGCATCGTTTGGAAGACCACACAGTAACTCGACAAGATCAAACTACTAATAACTTTTGGTTACTTTCTTTTGCTCATCTAAAAGCACACATTCCTCCAAGAAGCCTTTGTTTACTTTAAGTGTTCGAATTTGGCTTCCACGTCCTTGCCTTTCCCCCCTGCAGATATGCACGTTGAATGCTGGGCAAATAGAAAAATGAGGAGAAACCCAGGAGGTTATGTGTACAATGGGCATCATACCCGTAGCACGAAGCGTTAAATATTTGACTTTTTCAAGCAGCCGCTGAGAAGAGCAGGTCTCGTAAACCCACAAATTATGCAGATGATGAAAGAAAAAGCCGGGACAGGCAAGAAAATCGGTGTTGTGCCGCCTTTTCTTAACCCACCTCCCCGGGCTGAGGCTTTCCCCCGGCAGAGCCGGGGCAGGGCGCAGAGGGGGTGT